AGTCCACGAGATAGTACAGTGGATGGTGAAGAGTAGAGCAAGAGCTGAACACCATAGGCCAGCTCCGCTACCAAGTTGAAAAGGGGTTTGGGGGCCCAACCAGCAGCTTCGCCTTAGGCGAAGCCCAGCTCCAGCTCTGTTGTACCGTAGTAACGATGGTCCCAGTAGTAGGAGGCGAGCCATCTCAAGCAATTTTGGTATCGATGGCAAATCGTACACCTCACACTGACGTGTAGTCAGATCTGGGCGGCAGGCCGCTTTGAGCCAAGCGGCCGCGGGCGCACGCTCGTTCCCACTCACCTGTATCCCCAGCTCACTTTAGAGTGCCTGGCGTGCTGAACGCTGTCGGTGTTGGTTTTGGTTCTTTTCCAAAAGAACTCCCCCTGGGGCTTCGGCCCGTCCCGCCGGCCACCCGAAAAGATCGCCCAGGACCTCAATCCCCAAACAATCATCCAAGACGGCTTAAGATGGCCTCCAAGATGGCCACGTTGGCCCAACATGGCGTCCAAGATGGTCCACGATGGCCTCCAAGTCCGCCCAGGATGGTCCAAGACGGCCTCCAAGACGGCCCAAGAGAGTCCAAGATATCTCCAAGGTCGCCCGAGAAGCCTCCAAGACGGCCCAACACGACCCAAGAGGCCTCCAAGAGGACCTCCAGGAGGGCCCGAAGAGGCCAAAATCATTGATTTCCGTTAGGTTTTTGAAGGATTGTGGCAGTTGCCTCGTCTCTGCATTCCGACGGCTGAAGACGGCCCAAGAGGCTCCCAAGATCGCCCATGAGGCCTCCAAGATGGCCCCATGACGGCCCACGAGCCCCCCAAGACGGCCCCAAGAGGGCCCCAGCATGGGCCAAGAGGCCTCCAAGACGCCCAAGATGGCCTCCAAGACGGCCCCTGAAGTACCCCAAGACGGCCCCGAGCCGGTTCAGAGAGGCCCCCAAGACGGCTCCCGACGGCGTCAGACGGGCCAGGAACGCCCTAAGACGGCCAAAGAGGCCCCCGAGAAGTCCCCAAAAGGCCCCAAGAGGCCCTCCAGAGGCTCCAAGAGAGCCCAAGATAGCACCAACATGGCCTCCAAGACGGTCCAAAGATGGCCCAATCGAGCCGACGAGTGCCTCAAGAGGCTCCGAAGAGGCATCCTCCCCCTTCCCCTTGTTCCTCCTTCTCCTCCTCTTCCTCTTCCCCCCCCCCACGTGTTCCCCGAAGGCTTTGCAAACCGACTCGGGGAACACATGGTCCGATAGCTTCGCCCCCCAAGATGCCTCCAAGACGGCCCAAGACGCCTCCAAGACGGCCAACGTGGCCTAAGATGGCCTCTAAGATGCGTCCACAATGATCAAGACGGCCCCAAGAAGCCCAAACATAGCCCCAAAATGGCTTCCGAGACAGTCCCAAGATGCCTCCAAGACCGCATAGATGGCGCAATAAAACCCTAGAGTAGCCCAAGAGGCTCCCAAGAGGCCTCCTCCTCCCTTCTCCTTCTTCCTCCCTCTCCTCTCCTTCCTCCTCCCCCACCGTGTTCCCCGAACGCTTCCCAAACCGATTCGGGCAACACATGGTCCGATAGCTTGGCAGGCCTCTGGCCACAACGTTCGGCCACATAGGCGCTTCCGAAAGGGCAGGGGGCGGCGGTGAGTCGCCGTAGGCGTGTTCGGTACATTCATTTATGTGTATATATATACACATATAGATACACATAAACAAATAATCAGAAACAGAGAGAACGGAACATGACACGTGAAGGATTGACAAGACAGAGGCACCGATAAGGAGGGAGGGAGGAAGGCGAAAGGAGGGAGCAAACCCCTCCCGCCCGTCTTACCTCCCCAAACTCTCGTCTCTCCTCCACCTGCTGCTCCTCCTCCTCCTCCTCCTCCTCCTCCTCCTCTCCCTACTCCTGCGTCGCGTGGCTCTCATGCTGCCATCGCTGGGTTGTCTTAGGGCCTTGTTAGCCTGCGTTCGAAACATCTTGGGCCAACGTGCAAAAATGTTGGGCTTTCTCGAGAGCCCTCGTGGCCCTGTTGAAACCTCTCGGGGCGTTTGCGGGCAGTGCCGAGATTGTGCTGGTCGGCATCAGGGCCCTCTTGGGCCACGGCGGGCTCCTGCAGGGCTGTCCGGGTGCCCTCTCCAGCCACTCATGAGCTACGTCGAGCCTTTTTGGACCTGTCTTGGCACGCATGCGGGTGCCCGTCCCACGACGCTCCCTCGGCAAATCTTGCGCGGACAAGTGGAAGCCCCGAATCGTTCAACAGCGGAGGGCCTCTTGCGGGCTATCGGGGCGTCTTGGTGGTCAGCTTGCACTCTCGGGCCCTTTGGGGCTATCTTGAAGGGCTCTCGGTGCCCCCGTGAGGCTCTTCACGTGCACATGACCTGTCGTGGGACCTCGGGTCTGGGACAGGGCAGGCACTCACATATGTGAGAGGATGGACACTTCACATGTTGTCGCCAATTGGACTGGCCTAGAGATCATCAGACGAGGGAGAGGGAGAAAGAGAGAGAGGAAAACACCACATGAAACATGCACATGTACGTGTGCACGTATCTCTATACATATACACATCACGAGGAAGAGAGAGCGAAATACATACATACATACATACATACATACATACATACATACACACGTACGTACGTACGTACGTACATACATACACACATACATCCTTACCTAACTACATACATAAATGCATGCCTACATACATACTTGCCGACATACACACTTGCCTACACACATACATACATACATACATACATACATACATACATACATACATACACGCATACACACACATACAAACATACATACATACATACATACATACATACATGCATGCATGCATGCATACATACATACATACACACATTTCCATACATACATACATACAATCATACATACACACACATACATACATACATACATACCTACATGCATACATACATGCATACATATATATAAATATACATACATACATACATACACACAAACATACATACATACATACATACATACATACATACATACATGCATACACATACACACACCCATACATACACACAAACGTACATACATACACATACATACACAAACATACATACATACATACATACATACATACATACACACATACATACACACATACACACATACACACACATACATGTATACATACATACACACATCATTATATGCATACATACATACACGCATACATGCATACATACACATACATGTATGCATACATACATGTATGCATATATACGCACGCACATACATACGTACGTACGTACACATACATACATACATGCATGCATATATAGGTACCTACCGACCTACATACATACAAACATACTTACATACACACGTACATGTATCTAACGGAGCTAGAGGGACAATTAGGAACGAGAGAGGCGGAAATAACGAGAGGGAGAGAGAGAGAGAGAGAGAGGAGAGAGAAGGGGGAGAAGAGAGAGAGAGAGAGAGAGCGAGTCATACTGCACGAGAAGACACATAACGCGAGAACGAGGCAGAAGATAACTGATCGGATACCAATAGAGATATCTCTAGCACAGAAATAAAGAGTGACATAGACACATGCGCATAAAGGAAAAGAGAGGGAGAGAGAGAGAGAGAGAGAGAGAGAGAGAAAGAGAAGGAGAGAGAAAGAGAGCGAGAGAAAGCAGATAGAGAGAGAGAGAGAGAGAGAGACAGCGAGAAGCAGAGAGAGAGAGAGAGCAAGAGAGAAAGAGATAGAGAGAGAGAGAGACTCCCATCTTATTTGTGCGGGGCAATGCTGCTTGGCATCGTACGCGTGGCAACAAGGGCGGGAGGGGAAGGAACGGGAGGAGAGAAGAGGAATACGACAAGGCGGGGGGCAAAACGGGGGGGGGAAGAGCATGAGGCGGCTAGTAGGGGAAACATAAAAACAAATGTTGGTGAAAGAAGCCCAAGCGAACGATGACAGTCAGCAGCACCGTGAAGAGACAGGAAGAAAAGGACGATGGCGAGGAGGCCTAAGATGACGTCGCAGGGCGAAGTAGCAGGGAGCAGGGGCTTGAACGGGAGAGGAGGCGTGAAACTCGAATGACGCATGGTGAAACGAACCCGCCGACCCCGCTTGCCGGGGGGCCGGGGGGGAGAGAAGGCGAATGAAATGATTGGCTGTCCCCCTCCCCCTTTCCCCTCCCCTGGGGCCAAACATCGCACTAGAGGTGGGGGGGCCGGGGGGGCCCGCGGGATACGAGCTCGTCCATGCACCCTGGGGATCTCTGGAGCCTCCAAGGAGCTCCAAAACGGTCCAATGAGCACCGAGGCACTCGACGAGAACGCCGAGACGGCCCAGGGTAACCTCGCGACGGTCCAAGATGGCTTCAAAATGGCCTACGAGGTCCCCAAGACGACCCAAGAGTGCTCCCAAAGGGCAGCCGGAGAGGGCCACAAGAGGCAACACATCGTCCCATTCCCGAGGGAGAATCAACCATGCTAACATGGACGCCTTTTTCGCCTGGACAGCGTCCATTACGGCCCACGGATCCCCCAAAATCGTTTCAAGACGGCCCCCACAGAGGGCATCAAAACGATCCAATCGAGCCCCAAGAGGGCCCAAGAGGGCCTTGGGGGGCCCTCAAAAGGCCCAGGAAAGCCCCACGGGGGACCTAATAGGCGCAAAACGAACTGGCATCTCGAGTCGTTCCTGCTGCGATCGCCCAGACCCCCAGGGCGCCCCGAAGAGGCCCCAAAAGGCTTGCACGAGGCACCCAACACGCACCCAAGAGGCGCCCGAGACGCCTCCGAAAGCCAACCAAATGCTCCCACCCTACAAAAGGCCTCGGAGGCATTCCCGGAAACCTTTGCATGCACCTCCGAAGCTCCTAGCCAGACTCACAGGCCAACACGGTGGCGCGACTCTTGACGAAACAACTCTTTGTAAGGGTCGGCAGAATGGCACATGCCCTTTGTATATAGAGCATGTTGAACAAGCCAGCTGCCCTGCCCTGCCCCTCCTGGCAGCCGCCTTGAGGCCCGACGACACTGGCAGGACCGCCGCGAGGAAAGCCTGGCGCAATGGCACAGCAATTCGCTGATTCGCACCTTCCCCTCTCCTATCTATTTAGGTCAACGACCGAAGAGTCGAATTTACTGATCTGTCCGATGTAGAAGACGATTGGGAAGAGGGGTGAGATCGTTTTTCTTTCCTATGCGCCGCGGGGAGCGGCGCGAGTCCTGTCTGGTAGGACTGTCCAACGTCCAATACATAAGCCGAGACGGTAGCAGGATAAATGGGGAGAAAAGTGTTATGAGCGGACTTCACGCACGCCCGCGCCCCGTCCCGAACCCCGCCTGCCCCGCGCGGGCCTTGGGCCCGCGGGGGACAGAGGCGGGACTCGGGAACAGAGGAACGAGGTCCATTCGACTCACCCTTCCATCCCCTGCAGTCCCCAAACGAAGCGGTCTCGGATGGAGAAAAAGAAAAGGACCGACCACGTCGCACGGAGTACTTAAGGGAGCCTACCCGCCATTAGCGGGCCCAGGGCGCGCCCCCCAAAAATGCCTCGGCACTCCCGGGCGACCCCCCGTCACCGCAGGCCGCGGGGCTGGGGGGGTAAGGGAGATAAGAAGAGAAAGTCCCGCGTCAAGTGCACCACCGAAGTGCAACGACGCAGGCGTTTCCACCGGCGCGCAAACTCGCGCGTGCTGGCGCGCGCGCGCAAGGCGCGCGTTCAATTCAAATTTCATCCCCAATGAAATATGCGAGCGCGCAGCACCCCGCAACGTGAATTCAGAAGTACATGCGCGAGCGAAGTTGCGACGTCAAATGATGACAGCATACGAAGAGAAGAATCATTCGCGGGGCGCTCCAGGCCACAAAAGAAAACATAACGTTCGCATGTGTTACCATAGCTGCCACGACAACTTATCAAAACCAACAAATGCAACGATTCATTCACAGAGCACCCCAGGCCCTCATATGCATCTCGAGATGCGCGGGTGCGAAGCAGCCCGACACATGCAATCCAGATCACGCGCGCGTTCAAAGTTGGGACAACAACTGACCGCAAATAATGCGAGCGCAAGATGTCCAATCACGCGGGCACTCCAGGCCCCCGACTAGAACATCACTGATACCCGCACAAGAAGAATCCTGACAGCCCGACTGCGCGGCGGTTGCAGAGAACGCGCAAACGCGTCGTAAAACACGCCGTGCAACGTGCAAAATGTGGATTCGAGACTTCAGCCCTACACGTGTAAAATTATGAAGGCATTGCTCGCGCAGAAAAGAGGGCGTTCAGTGGGTCCGCGACGCATGCGCGGGCGCATGCCGGCGATGAGGGCGGCAAGGCTCCGTGGTCGCACAGCTCCATGATACGATGGGGCCATGTGCGATTTCCGCGGCGGGCGACCTGCCCAGGCGCGCTGATGCCCATGATGCAAAAACGAAACAATAGACGGAAGCAAAACAGGTTTGCAACGTTTAAATACTGATGTCTATATCGAGACAACAATGATTTGAATGACAATGTAAGCGTCGCATCCAGCAAACCAGCGAAACATATTTTGGTCACAGATTGCGACGATTGTCACCGTGTTAAAGCACAATGTCATATTATACGAATAACAATCCGATGAGCCAAAAAAACACATTCTCATCGATCTAGATCCCGTTGTTCAGATAGTACGACCACAAGCGGCACGCGTTGCCGCGGTAGTTCTCGAAGTTGCAGCGCCGCCGCGCCTCTGGGAACGCCCTGCGGGTGCCGCTCCGAGCGCGCTTGCTGGTCATGCGCCTCGAGCCTCGCGGCTGGCGCGGCGGTTCAATCGGCCTCCGCGCCCCCGCCGCGATCGGCGCGGCAGCTGTTGCGGCCCCGCCGCTCCAATCTGCGCCGCCAGGAGCAGGGCCGCCAGCGGGCGCCGCGCCCGAGGAGGCCGCGCCGATGGCAGGCCCGTCGCGGCGCGGCGGTAGAGGAGAGGGCGATGGGGCAGAGCGGGGGTTGGTGACCGGAGCAATCCCCCCGCCGAAGGCTTTGCCCTCCGTGGCGATCGCAGCAGCGTGATGCCTCGCTCTGGGCTGCGCCAAGGCCACGCGGTCCTGGCCCGTCTCGCCGATCGGGGGAGCGCTCGCGCACATCTTGCAGATGTGCTCGTCGGAATTGGCAAGGAGGTCGGCGCGCGCTATTGTGTCCGTCTGAATGGCGGGTGTTCCTGCATGGGCCAGCGTCTCAATCCGCCCGGGTGTTTCCACCGGCGCTCAAATCGCGGCCGAGATCGCCGAGGGCCTGATGAGGGGTCGCGCGAGCGCTATCGGTGGCCAGATCGGCGGAAAGAGAGTCGCATCCCTTATCGGTCATCTGACCGAGGAGATCGCCCACCGTGGTGTCTCCGCGAGATCGGCGCGCTGCGGCAGTGCCGGGATGCTCGGCCATGCTGGGTCTGCTCCACGAGTGCCGCCTCATGCGCAACCCTCTCGCTGTCCTGTAAGATTTTATCGCTATCAGTAATTGCGGGGTACTTCGACAACCTGTCCCTGGGCGGGGGCGGCAGAAGGCGCTGGGCATCCTGCTGGCCCCAGATGCAGGCGGGATCCCAAGGGGCCGATGTGGTCAGATGTGCGCGGAGACACACCGGCGTCAGCCTCAGAAATGCGGGCACCAGGTCGTTGTTCATCGGCAGGGCCTGCATCTGGCCGGTTGCGGAACATTGGGAAATCAGACCCCGAGAACCCCTGGAACTCCTCGTCGGATGCAATGGAATCGCCCAATCACTTCCGCAAGGCAATGAGACCGGGGCGGCTACTTTTAGAGGCGCCCCCGACAACGTGCGCGCGCGTGCGGATGGGGGACTCGAGTGCAGAGGAACGAGGGCCAAAGCCAACGTGGCTGGCAGGTCTTGGCGGCCTCCGGCGTCTTCTCGGTCTTCGGAGCAGTGGCGGGGTAAATAAGCAATGGCTACAATAATTCTTGTCGAGAGTAAACCTTCTCAGGCTAAACGTTTAGTCATCATGTCAGCAACCTGACCTGTTCTGTTGTGCCCACGAATTTGAGCTGCGTGTCTCCCTGTTGGCATGTCTCCGCGATCCAGCACAAGTCGATGCGATGAACGCGATGAAGATGGCGAATAAACGCGGGGCATGTAATGCGAGATCCTCGCGCGCGATCTTCGACGATGGAGTTGGTGATGGCGGCGCAGCTCGCGTCGATGTCCTGGGTCTGGAAGAGGAAGCGCGGGCTGGCGGCGCCTTCCGCGGAGGCGTCTTGCGTCGCTTCTTCTCGGCGGCCATAGACGCGCTACTTTTTTCCTCTGCAGCGGGCCATGAACCACAGCCTCCCGCGAGGAAGGCAATGATAGACCTTCGGTGCGCAACGCCGCGTCGAGAGCCTTGATCTCGGACCCCGTGGACGAGCGCGACGCAACTGTCTGCTGCTTGCACGCGGCGCTATACGCGGGGAACGCGCCAGGATCCATCAGCGCCACGAAGACGCCAGCGGTCGATTTTGAGGTGTTGACGCAATCCTCAAAAGAGGCGCTAGTGAAGAGCACGATGGGGCATCTTAGCAGAAGTGTCACCAATCCATCCAAGAAGGCAGCGTGGGCGCGCACTTCAAATAGCAAATCAACCGCGATGTAAACGCTTACTGCATGCGTAAGTCCACTCGGTGACCTCCCCTGCCAACGCGCAGACTGGGCGCGCGAGGTCAAACCTGCAGCAGCGCGTCGAAGCTGGATGCAAAATTTACATCCGCGCACTCGCTGCGACCGGGCCGAGGACTCCTTCGTCCGCGAAGTCCCGCTCCGCGAAGGACGCGTCCATGGGGGGTCTTTATATGTGACGCGGGTAGTGTCGTTCGTGGGGTTCTTCAACCGACGCATGAGATCTTGGCGATGGTGGGCGTGGCTTAGGCGAGGGTGACTTCTCTCTCCCCGAGCCCGCCATGCCAGGCAACTTGGACGCGCATTCCATGCGCTAGTCAGAAAACCAAAGCATATCGTTCCGAACGCCGCGAACGTTGGTTGTAGATGTGCAGCGTGCAGTGTCACTATCCGGGGGCATGGCCCGGATCGCGGCCGCTTGTTGGTCAAATTGTGGCGCTGTCCACACGCCCTGACCACAGCCCAAATAGTGGGCGAATGGAGTGAGCGGGTCGGTCTCAATGCCGCTGTTTCGGCTCAGGGCCCACCCCGGTTTCAGGTTGGCCTTGGGGCCCGCCATCTTGAAGCCATCGACTTCGACGGATAGGGCGAAATTCAACGCGTCGCGTTTCCAGATGAGCGCCCATCCAGGGGTGGGCTGGCGCCCCACTGGCCACAGGCATGCACGATAGCGGCGCTCCCAAAATGCACCCGCCAAGGGGTGGCCATGGAGAGCGACGCGACTGGGCCAGCGCCACTTGGGCGAGGTCATCCAGGCGTCAACGGGGTCGATCCGACCGTCGAGTAGAGCAGGGTCTGCGTGCAAGCGCCAGGAGCGTCTCTTTGCGCGCCGCTGCTGCCCGGCAATAATGCTGCGGCGTCGCGCAACTTCAAGGCCTCGACGCGTGGAGCGCTGGAGGCGGCGTCGGCGAACGCAGCGGCTACGCCGCTCTCGTCTGTCACGCTGTCGCCCTGAACCACGACGCGGCCGTTGAACTTCTGAAGTTCTGGAGGCAATATCAGCCAGCGTTGACTCGAAGTAAACAGGGGGACAGGCGGAGCGCGAGAGGAGGATGGGGGAATGACGAGAGGAGGGCGGGGGCAGGGCGGGAGAGGGGCGGGGGGGGCAAAATCAAGCACGCGCAAGCAAGCAATCGCAAGCGAGCAGCCATGCAAGCAAGAGCCAGCGACCAAGTGCAAGCAAGCAAGGGCTAGCAAGAGCAAGCAAGCGATAGCAAGCGCGCAAGAGCACGCAAGAGCACGCAAGAACAAGCAAGGGCAAGCGACTCATAGGAATCCATCGGAATCAATAGGACACGCCGTTGGAAACAGCTAGGGGGCGCCATTGGACATGGGCGGGGGCGCCATTGCCATTGGCAAAGGGGGGGGGGGGGGGGGGAGGGGGGGCCCGCTGTTGGAAGTCAAGGGGGT